AAGGCCCCAAAATACATTCCCCAGTGGAGTTAGATGGGATGAAGGAAAGAGGAAAAAATGAGTGATTGATGAAGGAATAAGTACAGCCCTTTGACACTGATTTTTCTGGAACTTGACTTCTTCCTTAGCATAGCCTTTCAATCTTCACATTAAAGATGTTGTTCTTTCTTTTTTTCCTGTGTGGTATAACAAAAGTCATGCTCAAATTATAAAATGTAACCTTAAAGGCAACTTGTGTGTCAATCTGCCCCAAATATCCATCCTTGATCTTCCATGTTCCTGATCCTATGAACAGTCTATCACTTTTAACCAAACACCATGAGAATGTCTCATCAATCCTCTCCTGCCAGTAATTTACTAGGACAGAAGTGGTGTGGGGGCTCTCCCACTTTTCCGTAGTTAAAATGTTTAAGAGCCTGAATATGGCACCTGTTTATCCATTCTCTTACTGTACATTTTCAATTTGTTATTCTGCAGTTTATCTGATCAACAAACACTTGTCAAATGTGGATTTCTTCCTTAGTAAACATCTGTTAAAAATTAGGTGTGCATATTATTCCTTTCCCATATGGAGGAATACATTTATTGTTGTACAGTGTATTCCTTTCTATACTGCTATCCCCCTTCAAGACACAGTATGGTTAGCAGCTCACTTTTCAGTTCTCTGACTAGGCTGGTGGGGTTTGGGTGTGCTGGGATTATGGGGAGAGAGGTAAATTATGTTCCTAAGATAGTTTCATTTTGCTGGGGTGGGGGAGAGGGTTGGATGTCTAAAGAAATAATAAGCGAGGAATGGAATTTAGAGGACAGACCAAAGATAATTCTATGACATACTGTAACCCTGAGAGATTTCATACTGAACTTGTTTAGACCTCAAAACGTACAAGAATCAGTAACTTGATCCCAGAACCAATTTTAAGAATTATGTACTGTATTATTAATAAATCATCAGCATCTAGAAGTAAATAATAGAACAAAAATTATTTATGACACATTGTATAGAGATGAATGCAGGACATGACATATGTTTAAAACTATTGTAGAGTCGTGCAAAAATTGGCTTTAGTGGTCCCCAGATTGAATGTGGCTATTTGAAAGATATTCTTGGTCTTTCTCCTCTCCCATTTTTCAGTCTTTTTTTTCCCCCATGCTTCTCAGAATGGCTCAGATGGAGAACTCTCCTGGCTGGATTTTTCCCAGCAATTGAGAGTTAAATCTTCATTCTAACTATTTTCCTGTAAGTTTTATGGGACTCCTGGGTTAAGAGGCAAGGCCAATTTTTTTGTTTTCAATTAGATCCTGGTTGACCTGTTCACTATCACATGTTTTGCTGTTTGACAATGCAGGGAGCTGATAATGCTGGTACGCATATACCAAGTCTTTGTATATTTTGTATTTCACAAGATGCTCAAATCAAATTATAATCTGCGTATACCTGCTTGTCTTGATTTGTCTGGGCCCAAGTATCAGCCAAAGTGCACAGTTCTGCATTGCCACCACATTTTGCATCATTGCAACTTAGCCTAAGTGCTACTGTTGTAGGAAAAATTATATGGATCTGGTACATTATCTAAAACAGCATGTTTTTGTTCATTGTTGATTTAGCTTTGTGTCAGGTTCTCAATCATTTGATTTTTGTCTAAATCATATTTCTTCTACTCTGGCTGTAAGACCTGAAAACATATTATAGATGGAGCTTCTGTGTAAATAACTGAGTTGCTAAACTTTGTTCAATAAAAACAAAAGCTAAATGAGAATGTTGGAAATATTTAGTCTTTTGGTGAAGGAGCCTGTTTTAGAGATCAGCATTTGGAAAAACTGGGGCCAAATCCAGCCTCTGTGAACCAAAACGGCTGGCTGCTACTGCTGTTGAGATAATATCAGCTTCAAGTGGGAAATGCTAGCGATGCAACATAAGGTGTTACAGGACAGGTCTATTAATAGAACTCAGTTTGCCCTATATCTAGGGCAATGTTTCTCAACCTTGGCAACTTCAAGGGTGTGGTCTTCAACTTGCTGGCTGGGGAATTCTGGGAGTTGAAGTCCACATACCTTAAAGTTGTCAAGGTTGAGCAACATTTCTCTTGGTGTATCACCAAAGCAAGCCAGGAGGATACATGAACCTAAGGTGGAGTGTGTGTTTGATGAGCTCCGACTGTATGCTACTGGTACATCAAATTTAGTTTTCTTCTGGTTGATATTATTGATTTTAATTGTAATTTTGGATTTTTCCTTGAGTTGCATTGATGTATGCTGCACAAATCGGGCAGCCACACACAGTACGTTTTCTTCATTTTCTTTAAAAAATGTGGTGTTAGTTGGATTTAGAACTATGTGGCATTCATCTTAACAGCTTCCTCCAAACTAATTTGGAAAGTATAATCCAGGTGTACTGAACTACAGTTGCTGTGAGTGATCATGCTGGGTTGAGATGATTAGAATTGTCCAACACATCTGGAGGGCAACAGATTAAGCAGGCTGCTTTAGAGATGCAAGATGTAGTTCTTACCTAGCCAGTGAATCAGGCTTATATAAGAGCTCCTTTAAGACCTAATGCTTGGATTTTGTGATTTGAAGATAGAAACTTCTCAGGCTTACAACTCATTTTTTTCTCTGCCATGCTTTTCTGAACAGCTGTCTCAATACGGGCATTGTAATTCGATATATTTTGCCCTGGTTTATTAGCACAATTTTGTAATGGCTGTTTTGAAAAAAACTATGCTGTGAATTAATCTGAGTCCTTGACACTAGAAAGGTGGTTCAGCATTTCAAAACCTTAGATATTTACTTTCATAATCACGTTGTGTGTGGGAGTGTGTGTTTGTGTGAACTTTCAGGTCTTAAAGTTATACTAAATAGGGTTTCTTGTTATTTTTTTGCTTTGATCATTTTTCAGTATTTGTGCCCTAGTCTGTTCTTTGCAATATAAATTACTCTGCCAGAATAATGGGGCACGAGCCCTCAGTCTGTTTTTGTAGTTTGGTTGCTGTGGTAATGTTCAGCCTTCCATGAACCTGGCATCTCCAAGGAAACAAAGTTTGTTGCTGTCTTTACCAACTTGATATGGACTGTGTCTGCAAAATATTTTTGAAAGCAATTCCTAATTGTATAGGTTTGCACTGAAATATATAGATAATGGCTATATTTAAGGTACAAAATAAAATCAGTGTCCTGTCAAGAAAAAAAATGAGATAATTTTCTAAAGGCCTGGCCGTTTATATTTTAACTAAAATATTAAACTTGTATTTTCCTTTGGATTAAGTGCTGGTAAATGCATTTTTAAAACGGAATTGTGATCTTTCTGGGAGTAGACAGTTTCAGAATACAGATGATGGATTGTGTGATCTGATGTTTCTTATATAAAAATTCATTGGATATAGAAACTAGAAAATCATGAAAAATAATTCTATTCTTTTCTTTGGCACATAACTTTTCTACATGTGAAAGCCTATTTAAAAAAGAGGGGTAGACAAATATGGGATTTTTCTATCCAAATTCTGAAATAGTACAGTCCAAGGAACACTTTATCACATGTTTTACTTAAAAGTGCCCCTGAGTTTTAATTATCTTCCTTTTATTGGTATAATTCTGACTCATTACATTGTGTTATGCCTCACGTAGTGCTCCCAAATCTGTCTTGTGTCCTTAGGCTCTTCACTTTATCTGCTGATTGTGTCCCGTTTTATTTGGTATGTCTTTAATTTTTAAACAAAGTTAAGAGGGAAGTTGAATGAAAAAAATCTTGTTTACACAGGTCCTTGAAGGAAATGTGCTACTATGTGGGGGTTAGTATGTCCTGTATTCCGAACGTTGATAAGACCAAACAAATCTCCAAAACAAAATAAACACATCTCCTCATTTACAAACAAGGAAAGCCTTTATGATAATGGCCAGGACAGAAGATTTTTATACTCTTGAACAGGTCTCCTTCACAGTTTGGCCACATGTTATCACTCACAGATCCAAAACATCCCATCTTCTTTGTGGCACTGTTTTTTATTAGCAAACCTCATCTTACAGCTTTCTGTACTTCTAGGTTTCCTCTCTATACACTGTTTAGCCCATGCCTTCCAGAAATGATATTTTCTTCTTTTGTCCTGAACAGGGTCGCAAGGTACATGCCCTTCTTGATTCTGCAGGAATCTATCAGATCAAAGATTGCTAATACAAGGGAACTATCTGGAAATTAGCTAGTACATATGGAACCAGGCTCCAGACTGTAGTCTGGAATGTTTTTAGAATGCTGCCTTGCCTGGTCTCCTCCCCTCCTTTTCATCATGTTATGCAATGTGACATTTGCATGACACAAGAGAATGCCCCTGTAACTCCATTTAAATGCTAATTTGCTGAGAAAGGGCTTAACACTGAATTGTTAGTGTCTCATTATAAAGGTAGGTTGGGTGGTTTCAAACAAGAAGGGTCTTGCTACCCCTAGTCCCTGGGGAGAACTAGGCCCAGGAAGTAAAAACTATGAATTGGAAGTTTCAGGTGCAGATTTTAACTCAGTCATGAGCTAAATGTATTCTTAAATGTACCACCTATTTTCATTCCCAGCTTTGCCTATAACTCAGAACATTCCATGTTTTTGAGGCATGGTGCAATTTTATTTGGCAAGTTACTCCCTGAGAGTAGCACCACCTTCTCTTCCATCCTGTTGCTATGCACATTCCCTTACCTGCTTGTTCCTCCGTCTCCAGTCTTGCCACTGCTTGGGGGGCGGGGGGAGATGGTGCCAGTCTTGACATTTCATCCATCAGTTAAGTACCCCTGCAAGCACTGTTTGCTCTGAGATTTGGCCTCACTCTTTCTGTTAAAAACCGAAAAATAATACAAATCTGTGAGCAAGTCTATGTGCAAATTATCCTGAAGCAATGTGTGAAGCCCCTGAAGCAATGAACACCGAAAAGCAAAAATGCTAATTATTATTAATTGATTAATTCACTGGTCAATTTGATCAAGTTGTAGTGTTGGTGTCTTGACTTGCTGTTTGTATCTTACAGGTTGTCTTGCATTTGAATCCAATTTCTTCCATCCATATTCACCAGAAACCACTAGTGTTCCTACTGAACTCTCCTGTGCCTCTAATGTGGAAGGTGAAAACAGAAAGACTAGCTATGGGGATTGAGAGACTTTTCATTGTAAGTATTTGGAATATCCTGATACTGTGTATTACTTCGTAATATTCCATATGTGACTGATGGATATGGACAGAGAAAAATAAATGCTAATTAGCTCTAACATTTCAGCAAAAAGCTCTTAGGGGCAGTGTGGGGGCTTATTTGAATTTTTGTTTAAATTGGGGGGGGCTGTGGAGGGAGGTTATAGGATTGCCCTTACTGTGTGATTATTGACTACAGTATGCTTCCTGCTTTGATCAGCTCTGGTGCCTGTGACAGATCACTAGCCTTGGAAGATGCAGTAACTGTAATTTCAAAGGTCAAGAGCACTGTAGGAAGTTAGCAGCCAGCTTGCTTTCTGTGTGGTCTGCCAGCAGAATTCTAGTTGAGTTGAGCCCCTTGTGCTCAGGAGAAATTTTAAGCTGAGGTTTTGTTAAATGCACAAGCCTAAGTCCAGCATGAAATCATGGCATGTTTCCGAAGAAAGATCCAGCAGTTACCTACTGTTTTATAAATTCCACATTGACCATTGGCCAGAATGGCCAAATGTGCTGTTAGTTAAGCTGAGCAGACTGGTTGTTTGGGTTGAATTTTTAGGCTATGATATCATGTCTCATGATGACTCCTTACAACTTCATTATTTAACATCCCAATTTCTGAAACAAACATTGTTAATGGCCACAGAAGAGTTATACAAGCTCCAAATAATCTCTGGAAAATACCACATCTGGCACCTGGAGGGACAGTCTACAATATAATGAAAACTAAAATTGTATGACAGTTTTACAAAAGTGGTGCTGCGTCACCAGTAAGGAATCAGTGTTTCTCAGTTTTTAAAAGGAAAAAAATGTTTTTTCTTTTAAAAACAAAAACAATAGCAAAACTATTAAAGAAACATCCAGAAGCTGTTGTTGTACGTACCCTGTATGTTTCTACACATTTTCTTTAATATATGCTTTTTCCTGTGCAACTCTTCAAAGTACATACTTTTTGTGCAGTTTTTGGGTTGAGAAATAGTGGTAGGAAGACTTTGGTGGACTTGGCAAATGAATGTGAAGAGAGATTTATAACAATAAAATGGGGTGAAGGGGAGGAACAATATGTTTGTTGCCAAAAAGGTAACATTGAATAAAACATACATTCCCCAATAACTTCTTTAGTTCTCTAACTTATTTTTTATGCCACCAATTAACCCTCTCCCACCCTTTATTGGGTTAAATGGTAACTCTTCAAGATATTAAAATATTCACTCAATCCAACTCTTCTTCTCCTAGCAACAAGCTCCTAAAAAGCCTTTCCCCTCATCCAATATAAGAGCAATTCAGACTCCATTTAATGGGCAATTGGTTGTTGCTGATGGATTTTAATGTTGTTTTGCCTTGGTTTAAAGTATGTTTAATAATTTGCAGTTATTACTATTTTCTTTGTGATATTACTGACCTTTTTTCAAGTGTTTGATGGGTATAAAATGCTTTTAATAATAAACTAAATAGTTGTGAGGTAGTTAAAATGGGTCTGGATAAAATTACTGTAGCTGGAGGTGCCGAGAAATGATTGAAATAAAATAAATGTAAATATCTCTTTCCATAAATGATGGCAAAGCATTTAGACTAGCTTTCTTCATGGGATAGTTTAGTTTGCTCTGTGTCAAGCAGTTTTCAGTTTTGGCTGGATTTAGTTTGGGGGATATGAAAAAGCATTAGCACTACTAATGAAGCTAACGTGTTCCCCATGAGCAACCTGGGTTTACTTTCATCTAATATTGAATTATTGATACCTCTTGTGGGTCAAGGTGTTTTTAACCATCTTCTCTAGCACCACAGTTCCAGATCATCAGTGAAGGTACTTATAGTCCTGTCATTTAAATAAATAAATTTTGTCATTTATTTATTAGTGATTCTTTCTGTTCTGTAAGATGAAGCTATTTTCCCCTCTACCCAAATCACACCAATTTTATTTACCCCTGCTGTGGAAAATGTTTTCCTCTACATCACCCAAAAAGTACCTGGTGGAGCTTTTTGGTGAGAAAATGGCCTGAAGGGAAAGAATTGAACAGCTTTTTTCCCACCCCCATCTTGTCTTACCCTTCAAGTTGTGATCTCCATGGCTGCATTTTTCAAAACAAAGATCTAATAAAAGAATTAGAAAACTACATGTGCAGTTATTTATTTATCCAATTTTTAGGCCGCCTGACCCAAAAGACAACTCTGGGTGGCTTCACAAAATTATAAACGGAAAAAAGCAACATAACGTAAAAAAAAAGCACAGTTGCCCCAAGGGAATGAAAAGGGGGGGAAAAAAATCGCACATATCATGCCCAACCTCATGGGGCCTGCAGAAATCCTAATCCAAGGCCTGAGGAAAGAGACACAATTTTAGAGCTTGCTTGATGTAGGGTGGAGGCCAAACAGATCTCCCCGGGGATGCTGTTCCAGAAGGTGGCTGCTGCAGCAGAGAAGGGCAGCTTCCCAAATCCTGCTAGATGACATTACATAGTCGACAGGACCCAAAACAATCCTGCTCTGTCTGATTGTACAGGATGAGCAGATACTACTGGAAAGAGACGGCCCCTCACATAGCTGGCCCTGGGCCATGTAGGGCTTTGTGGGTGATATGCAGCACTCCCAGAAACTTACTGGGAACCAGTGCAGCTCATAAAGTAGACTTGTTACATAGCTAGAGTGAAGCCTGCCCATCACCGCTTGTGCGACTGTTCTTGTGAAAAAGCACGATGTGTTCAGTTCTCATTGGTTTAATGTATGCTTTTGCCTTGTATGGCTAAATTTGACATTTTTTTGCACATACAAAGGTACTGTACTTTGTTCCATAAATGGACTTTTAAGACACTGACTGATCACTTCCCCATCCTAGAATATTCTCACATGTGTATTAATTTATTATTTTGTTTTCCTGATATATGATCTGTGTGTTTAGAGATAATGGGAAAGGCCCTTTTTTGGTCCCTATTATGTTAAATCATCTTCCAGTGTTTGTGATATAACCACCCTGTATTTTGCAGTTATTCTGACTTTTTTTTTTTAAACTGTGTTTTATACATTTTCTTTTTAAAAACACAAGTATTTGTTGTAAACCAAACTCAGGGGCTTATTCATACTTTTTCTATGTTCTTTGTATTGATGTATTGACAAATTATGTCATCACACTCTTTTTTGAATGTGATGGATGGGACGGCAAATAAAAAAATAGGAGGATTTTGAATTTACTGTAATTTAAGAGGATAAATCCTATTTGCACTAAAAAGACTGGTATGTAGCTTCTCCCCTTCACAGCTTCTAACTTATTAGCAAATAAATTATGCTCCCCTATGCTGTGGGACTAATTTAATAGCAGGAGTAGATCACTGTGAAAGATTGCTATCTTTAGTTACTTGTTCATCAAATAATCTTGAAAGTGAAATGAACAGAACCTAGAAGACAATCAAAAGGGAGCTGCAAATCGGTATATTTAATGGGGCATAGTTCTGTGTTAAAATACATAGAATTGGGCTGAAAATTAATTTGTGTAATGGAATATTATGTTTCATAACATGCTAGCACCTGAGCTAGAAGTATCACATTAATCTGAGCTTGGAATCTCCTGGGTCTTAAAACGCCAATTCCTCTTGAAAGCAGAACTTGGATCATAGAATCAGGGTATTTATGGTCTTTCTGCAGTAGAGTTTTATTACACCAAATCCATTTTAGAGCCTTGTAGAAATCAAGCTCCGAAGTAGTTACTGCTGAACAGTCCCACTGAGCAGACACCTAGAATTTATCCCTTCCTTTTCGTTACCTGCTGCAGCTGTGTTGATCAGGTAGTTAGATATAAACGAAGAAAGAGTTCCTGTGCCTGTACTAATTGTATATAAAAGTAAGCTAGCTTTGACTGACTTTACACTGTGCACATGCTAGAGGATTCTTTCCCTAAGTAATTAGTTTTTTTAGCCCAACAAATTTATCATGAGTTTTTCTCATTTCATTGATGGTCATGTATTTTTTTCCTTGAATTTCTATCGTTCCTGCTTTTATTTCTTCTTTAGGTTTTGTTGTTTTTTTCCCAAGTCTTTCCATGAGCAAAGAATTACTGTACGGTGGGGGTGAGTAGGTAATATTAGCTGTTAGATGCTGATGTACTACAACTTCCAGCAGCCCATCTCAGCCATGCTGACAAGGAACAGCATCATTTGCCAAGCTGCGGGTTTCCATCCCTGGTGGACAGACTTTGTGTAGTCTGAAACGGACTCAGTGTAGATTACAGAGGGCCAATTTAAAATTTAAATTTCAGTCCTCATGGCCCCATCTATCACGTTGGTCATATAATCTGAAGATTCATCGCTGGATCAATTAGGAAAGGGAAGAAAATAAACTTCATTAAAGGATAATGTTCTACCTTCCCATCTTAACTCTTCCCAAATCCTACCCTCTTTGGAATTTCAACTAAAAGGAAATTCATAGAAGAGAAAAGCGAGACAATTATACCTGTATCTTCAAAGGAATCGGAGATATCTGGCTTAGGGAACAAAGCAGTTTTATTAGCAGAGCTTCTTAAATCTAGAGATATTTAAAACTCCCACTGGTGATGGGAGGGATTCTCATCTCTCTCTCTCTCTCTGTCTGTTTTAAGTATCTCCAAACTACAGCACCGTTTTAGATGGAAAGGGAAATTCCTCCATACTTTTGCTAATTCCTCTCTCTCCTCTTTTTTGCCTTCTTTTTCAAGCTAGTTTCTACATGAAGATGTTGGCAGGAAGCCACTTTTTTAATGTTTTATTTTTGTGTCAAAGAGGTGGCCTTTGCAGGTGTTGCTCAGCTGGTGGAAACTTTTGCTTCAAGCAGTGGGCCCTTTGACTTTCAGAGCTCAAGATTTTTCCTGCTGGACTGAAGCTGCTTGCTATGGAAACTACAACAAAGCTTCCTTAGATACTTTATTCTGCGGTTGCATGGCATCGCTAGGTTTAAATAGTCAATTAAGATCATGTGCAATGGATTACTACATTAAACAGTTTTTGCCGCAGTGGTTTT